TGTTTCTTTTCCATTCAAGAAAATTAAATCCTAAATCATAAGAATATATTTTTCTTGATTGAACTATATAAATGGCTTCATTCAAGTAAGCAATTATTCAAGCAATTATATTTTTCTTTAATTAACACATAATCTCATTTCAAAATTTCCATGGTAAAACTAAATATATTTTCAAAACAAGAATGTCCTTTTTTTCTGTGTAACTCGCACACGGATGTCAATAATCATTTTCGTAAATAGAATAATCGTGCGAGTGCGAAATGTCACGTTCACGCGTACGATCATCTGTATTCTTGGCGATCGACCGCGGCTCTGACAGATGATAGCCGGCACAGCCAGCTGACTACGGGATATTGGTAATTGCCCGACGATAATTGTCGACGATAAAACGCGGATCTTTCTTTCAGCCGCCGCACCGGATGCGCTTCCCAGAACATCGTGCGACTTACCCCGCTCCGCGTCGCGTTATCACGCGAGCTTTCTATGAAAGCGAGCCGGGACCGCATATCCGCTCCAAGGTTTTTACTCTCGATAGCACGAAGGCGACGCGCATCGAGGGAGCCCGTCTCTCTCGATTAAAATTACGCTACGCTTGTTTACGTAATTGCAGCCAAGTGCATTAAGAGACGTTATCTGCCGTGTGTTTGCCAAGATTACTTAATCGCTTACCGAGTTGCGATGTCTTTTTAAACGTGCGAGTAGATATAGAGATATGGCGACAATAATGCACGTAAGCATCGTGGTTTGTTAACGTAACTCGCGTAATGCGAAAGAACGAGGAGATACAAATAGATTTTTCTCTCGAGACGAATGGAAGATTCGAGTTGTCTAGCGTAAGAATTAGCGCTCAATGTCAACGCAAGACGAGAAGCAGACGGACTGTGTTTAGCGGTTTAGCGCGGCGAGATTCTAACGAAACTCACGTCATGCGAATGTTGGCGGCACGTGTTCGACTTCGAAATCGTTGTTAACGTTGATGCACGCTTGTCTCTAGTAGAAAGGCTTGCGCATACCGCCAAGGCTACAGGTAATCGGGATAATTTGATGGGATTGTACCTATCAAAGGAGGAGGAGAGAGACGAAGGAGGCCAGAAAGGCCGAGAGCAGTCAAAGAGAAGTTCAGAGGGCCAATTTACCGGACGAGATTAAGCCCGCGAGAAAAAGAAATTGGAATCGAGACGAAAATTACGGATCTCACGTTCCCCGTCTCGAGTCCTTTTTTCGTCCTTTCCGCGCCGCGCCCTAATACACACATTTATACGCACACGAATAGTTTATTTCCGAAGCGACGTAAATCAAAAATCGAAAAATATATTCCACGTCAGATGAATAAAACTCTACGTATAATTGTATCCTTGGATAAAAATCCAAGTGTTGTGAAATATTCCTCCTAGTTTCATGCAGAAACGTGTGAACAAAAATTAGTATTTAGCAAATATAGCACGCATGCGAAAATATCAAGCGTTTCAAAAACTTTGACTTTTATTTTAGTGAATTTGATATCAAGTATACGAAATTTTATATTGTCTCTCCTGCTCCCTCTTACGCCTTTCAATCGCGCATTCCGGACGAGTATTCATGACTCACATGTTGCGGTTTCTCGAGACGGATGCAGCAGAGATTTGATAACACGTAATGCGAAGTTATGGAATATGGAAAGAAATTAAAATAGCTAGCGTAATTCTGACAATCAAATCGAAATAATCTCCGAATTAAATAAAAAAAACAGATATGTAAAAAGTATCTTCTCTTTGAAAAATTGTATTTTAAATGTAATTTTTTACATTACGTAAACATAAAATTATTTAATGAAAATCACCTCTTTTAAATCACTTTTATTTTTATTTTTCTTATATTAAATTATTTAATAATTATTTACCTGTGTTGAGAGAGAGAACAATAAATATTAAAATGTAGATACCAGATTAATTTCCATTTTACGAAATGTATCGTAATAAATTTTAAAATGTATATCATGCGGAAATGAGGTATGATTTGAACGCGCATATCTTAATATTCAGGAATTTATTTAAACGAATCTTCAAAGATCCTAAGCTGGATAGCGTCCATGTTCCTAATTCGATGTCGATCTAAATAAACGACCGTGTTGCACCATCGAATTACAGCCTCTGCAACGATTCCAACGCGGCGGCAAGAGTCGTGCGTGCGAAATCAAAAATCACGACGATGACGCGATCGATCGATTATTCCGCGCCGCGAACCGATACTCGGGAACCGGGTATCGGGGAATGTTATTTCCCCGGAGCGATACAAAATACACAACCGTGCGTAGGACTACCTGGACGGACCGAGCTCTAGAATTAGAGGCCCCCGGAGTCATTAAAGTCCCGAAGGATAACTGACCGGTCGAAGGATTTCGAGGCCACGGCTTAGAAAAATGCTGGCTAGATCTGTGTGTGCCACCAAGCAATTATGTACGGGGGAGGAATATCCGGTTCGTAGGAATATCGGTCTCTCGATGCGAGGAGCCGAGGTCTGGAAATACCTACGAATTTTCACGCGAGCCATATGGCATCCCCGTTTCGTCGCAACGAAACACACACACGCACACGTACCTACGCACACATGCGTACTACGCATCACGCTCATCGAATGCACAGGTCTAAAGTAGGGATGTAACACTACGTGGGTCTGAAGAGCAGAAGGCACACTCAAATTGTATTCGACGACCCTTTTCTTTGATGTTTTCAAAGCTGTCCTTTCTCTCTTCCGACTTTCCCAGAAAAATTCTCTACGAAGGATTACCTTAAATCCGAATAATACGTTTCTAGTGTAGAAAGATTGAAAAGATGAAGAGAACATACTTTCCGATTTCATACATCAATTTCTTTGCTGTTTATATTTTTACTGCTTACCGATATATATATATGATTTATGTAATGGCTCTGAGAATTCTCGGAATATTGTAATGAATTGTATTAAATAAATGTACGTGTCGAATCTTTCGTTCAGCAGGAGGATAAATACACTCCTATATTTGGAACGACTCATTTTTTTCGGTCAAAGACGTTGCCGCGAACTTCGTCGGTCGATATATAAGCATGAAAAAAAAAAAACATTGTTTATGACGTCGAAGAGACGAGTCCCGCAAACAAACAACGCGTCGGCGATATTTTGCGTTTCGTCCAACGATTTATTATCTCAATATACTATCATATTCCTCATCAAAGTATAGAAATCTTTTCGACAAGGCCAATAATGCACTGAATCATTCTCGGATCGAACCGATGACCGGAACTTTCATCCTTACAGTTGTTCCGCTTTAAGATTACATTTACGTCAATATTTCTCGACGTATCCAAATATTTCTTTAATTTTTTCAAGATGGATTGTAGAAAAAAAAATGTCGTAATCAGATATAAAAATAAAATACAATTTCTCTAATTGCTTTATATAAGTAGTAATGATCATTGCATAAAAAATTGATAGTGAGCCTTCGTACTGAGAATGACTTAATGCACAATCTAATAGAAACCACGAAGGATGTTCCGATTATCGCGAAAAAAGGACGCGAATTGCGCGGTGAATAAACGTACGTATGATGTTTCGAGAAATCGCGCCTGTCATTTCCAGCTGTGTAACCAACGCGATCGTCCGTCATAAATTCATAAAAGTCGCATCGATGAATACGAAAGAGAATCCGCCGTGAAGCAATAAATTTCGTTAACACTCGAGATTTATATGCTTCGTGCCACGCGCGTAGATAAGAATATAGTTTCGATTCATTTTTAATTATATATTTTTCCATATTGTTAACAGCATCATTAATGCCATCTTTGCGCTATGATACTTTCGCTATGGAAAAAAAACCGTATTTCTCATTTATCGAAACCGAGGAAAGCGCTCTTTCAGAGTGTTAATCCGACTCGAGGAAGACTGTCAAAGTATTCACGAGGTAGCAACAAACTTCTGATGTGGAAGTCCTTCCACATCAGAAGTTTCGAAATTTTTACCTGCGTCGCTTTCAAAGTAAACAGCTAACCCTCGTCATGCGAATACCGATGCCATTCAAACTCGTAGGACCATATAGTATATACTTTTTTTTCTTAATTTGCACTGAAAATTTTCTTTAGAAAAAACGGAGAGAAATCGATATAACGGGGATTTGCAGGATCGGACATTTCAACCGAAAAAATTATTTCGCAAAATGAAACTTTATAATATGGATCCGTTATCGCTGGTCGGCTGTCAGGCGATCCCCCGTCTGAGGATTAATTTAATAGCCGACTCGAACAGGCCGTATCGTGTATCGACGCAATTTCTGTCTAATGCGAAGTGATTTTTATCTCGACTCCTATAATCGTACTTCTCCTTCAAATGGCTACCTTAACACATCCGCGGATAATGAGGGATGTAACTATCGCAATGTTAATTTTACGGTGTATAACTACGTAAAATATATTTTTCATAAATTTTTAGCCTTATCCCGACAACATGGTCGTTGGAAAATATTTAAAAATATCTTAAGACCGAAATCTGTTTGCTTTTTCAATTTAAGATTTATGGCTAGTGTCTGTTTAAAAGAAAATATTGTCGAAGAACTTTCAAATGCTATACAAAAATAATAGTCATAAAAATAAAACAGAGACGAAAAAAATGTGTCTATATATTTTCTCTCACAAATGAATACTAGCCATGAATGCAGAATACTTATTCCAAATTTTCGAAAAAATCTCGAGAGTTTTCTTTGATTTTTCAAACATTTCTATTTTAAATTTTTAGATAGAAAATTATAGTTTTCGATAATAAAAAAAATGTAATATAATTTATTTACTAATAAATTTAATATAAATTTATTCACTTTATGGATTTCTTAATTTTTTTCTCATACAATCATAGAGAAAAATTTATGATCAAAACTAAATCGTTCATTAGAAATTTAAATAAAAGCAAAATTTTTAAAAAGATAAAATTCTTAGAAAAATTCAAAAAATTCTCTCTGATTTTTTCAAATACACATATAATAAAATTCTAATTACCTGAGTCGCATCTGAGTAAGGCGTCGGTGAATTTTGGTCAACCAGTAAAGATCCAAATACGATGGGTATCCCCGAGTTCGAGGGACTATCCTGTTGTGTTGGCACCATTTTCGGGCCGCTTCGAAAAAACTGCACGTGCACTTCACTTCAATTAAATTAGAAATTTAATGAAATCAACGGCTTGCATCACAATCCGCGCGATTCGCCGGCGAACGTGAAGATTACTCTCCTCGATCGCTATCGATCCACCGTCGCAGACGCTTCTCTCACCGATCGACGTATCTTCGTCGGAATAAATCCGATATCTCGCTGCAGCGAGATATCTCAACACGACCCGCAAAGACGAGTCCGAACAAAACTTAGATCCGTGTCTAAATGGCGATTTTTCTTGCGTTATATTGACTATCGGGCGAAAATTTACGGAAGGCCGTTATACGACGGTCTTCTCGTGAACGCGACTCGACTGTGGATGAACAGGGCGCGATCCAATGTGTCGCTTATTCCTCCGATCACTGCGTAGGACGTCTCTTCGCTCGCGACGAAAACTTGTCCGAAAACGGGAGAGACGACACGTATTCCGCATCCACGTGGCTCGCAGAGCAGCGATGCAATTATGATACGCGTCGATCGTATTCCCCTATCGCTCACGTCGAGCGTACAACTCTTAATTTTACCCTCGGCTCGTTCTCGATACCGGATATCGATGACGTGCACGCGCGGTTAGACTTAGACGTTAGACGATCCTCTCACAGTCGCTCGTCGATCACGAATTGACATCCTCGCCCGTTTGGAAACGAGACTACCTCGATACTCACTCCACGAACGCTCATGTGCTACTGACTGAAACGTGCGACTCTCCGACTCTATACAGCGCTCAGCTGTAGTATCCCCACTCCTACTGCGAGCGCAACGCGCAGCCAATCTGCGTCTGCCTGGCCTCCCTACCTACTGCACTTCATCTGCCACGGCTCGCTCGTCGCTCACGCTCACTCTGCGGCGGTACTCCGCGCCGTACGGATGTACTTATGGGAGCTGTTCGTCTGTGCTTATTCTTAAACTCGATTGTCAGTGTCAAACCATCGCTTCCCATCTTTTCACATTTTTGTTATTTTTTTCTCCTTTTTCTCGGTGAATTCTACTTTTATGGCGAGACTTAATAAGAGGAAAAGAAACGTAATCATCATTACAACATTTAAATGTAACTATAAATATATATAAAATTATATAATCGTATGTTAAGTATAAATACAAATTGTGTTATTTGTGTTACTTTTAAATTACGTTCATTACAATAAATATCAAACGCCGGAATAAAATGTTGATTTAATTTAAAATTCAAACCGGATAAGAGATACAAAAACTTTTCTTAAAGAAAAAAAAACAGCACGCAGGGTTACTGTGCCTGATGTCCTTGTATCTTCCCGCGATTAGTTTAATCCTGTGCAACTTGGTGCGACCGCGAAGTCGCGTTATACCGGTTTGGGTACTTGAATGCCATGCCTGCGGGGGCGTAAAAACATGCGAAATTAAGAGATTACGATCAGCGTGGCGTACAGTTTCTCATATGACGGGCTTTTGAATGCGTCCTTACGCGCGCGTATGCCAGATAATATATCTTGAGAAGGCGTGTGTTGCAGAGAAGAAATTTGAATCATAAACCGTTAATTTAATCCCAGTACAGCTTAAAATGACTTCCAAATAACATAGTAAATAACACACATCTCTTTAAATCATTTTTTCGCTTATTTCTGTATCCTCGTCAACTTGAGAATCAAAAGTATGAATAAATATATTAGACATAAAAACTTCAAGTAAAACCTTGCAAAGTCGAGTTTTATCGTTTTATTTTAATTCTCAAGATCACTGATAAAGCGCCACAAACACTGCGGATTGCGTGATAAAATGTAAACTAAGTAATAATTTAATTTCAACGAAAAAAATTTCAAACATTCTCTTCCCGAAACAGAATGATATGCGTCGAAATATTTATTGAATAAATAAATCTATATGTCGGTCGTTGGCATAGTGATATTTTATCGTTGTTTACATACATTGTTATTTACGAAGTGCGCATTTCGTACTTAATCATGGAACCGTAACAATTTCTTATCTCTCTCTCTCTTTCCCTTCTTTTTTTCTCTTTCTCTCTCTCCACCTTTTTTTTCACATCACGTATTAAGGTATACGAATATGATATCGTCAAAAATTGCGTGCATGGGAGACTTTACACATAAACAACTTTAGTGCCAGTCAATCCCAGTACTCCTGTTCCTTCGAACGTAATGTTCGACGCACGGCTGTGCTTAGGGGAGTTGCATAATAGTACTCGAGTCACCGCATTTTCCACTCTCATAGAAATTCTCTAGAGTCGTATTAACTTCGTCAGGCGTGGTGTGCAGCCAGCTGGACATTTTTTCGATAATTGTTTTACGCGGAAATAACAGATCGGGCTTCATTGAGTTTCATTTGTGTAAATTAATTTAATAATGAACACTGGATTATTTGATTTACTCATATTTTCCATTCTTATGGAAATAACAGAATCATGTCCAGTCAGATGGATTTTTGTTTTTTGGTCATTACGTATAGAAATCTAATCTTCATTGAATACATTTGCGGAGTATTAAAAAAAATAAATCCAATCTATCACCGCTGAATTTTTGGATTTATTCTTTCTTATAAATTATTTGTTGTATTTTTATAAAACTTAGAAAAATTGTTAAAAATATTTTATCAATTTTATTCTTGCAATGTCTTAAATCTAACAGTAGTCTAATCTACAAGTCTAATCAAAATCGCAAATAATATTCGCAAAAATTATCTTTTCATGTTTTTGAGTGAAACAATCTAATAAGATATTTTATTTGAATTTCACAACAACATAATATGAATTTATTCTCGTATTTCAATAATCAAACTTATTAAAAAAACTGCACGTTCTACACGCGAATTTCAGCTTCTTTAATCACATCGCGTTTATTCAAAAGCCCGAGTTTTTTCCCGATAAATATCTTAATCTATAAATGCAGTATGACAGAAAACGCATTGCGCTCGCAGTCGTTTCGTCTACGATATATTTTTAGTAACCACGCCATAGCAGGACGACGACGACGACGACGACCCTCGTACATACAAGAGTCGTCGAGCGATGAGTCCATCCAAATACTTTATTTTGCGCAAACACACGTCAAAAGAGGCACACGTTGAAAGTCATACAAATATAAACCATATATACGCGAGGTCTAACGAAACTCTTTCGAGGAAAACGAACGCACCGTCTGCTCCTCTTTTTTTCGCGCTTGCGAGTCGGGGTCACTTTCGACAAGAGAAAGCCTTACGTAACACGATCAGTCCGTAAACCGAAATTCCCATACTATCGAATAAAGCCATATTATTCAGCATAACGCTTCAAAAACGATGATTCTCTCATCTTTATTTGCTTCGACGCGTTCCTTTTTCACGGTCAGGATAGTGTCGGATCTCTTAATTTTTGGCAAAACGACAAGCTGTTTACGCTTATAGATACGTCGTTCTCACCTGACTAGATCCCTGTTCTCTGTTTTTTCGTCACTGCCAAGGTTAACCCTTGAATATAGGTCAGTTCCGCGAAATAGACTATTTCTACGAAACGAGCGTTATTATTTTCAAGATTAAATCGTCTGGTTTCAAAGAACATCTTTCTTAAAAAACTGTTTAACCTATCAATCTCTACCCGAATTTAAAAATAAAATCTTTAACATGTGTTAAATTAGCAAACAAATTAATTAAACGTTTATCAATTACGTACATTTTTTAAATATTTTTTTCGGATTATTAAAATGAATTTTAATGCAAAGTATAAATTTATGCATCGAAACATAAAAATAATATAAAAATATCTATATATCATTAAATATCGATATTTTTTCGCGCATCAGTTTTCTGAAATCGTACGGTTTATTGATGGATAGGTCAGGTAATAAGCGTTGAACCTCTCCGAGGATCGAAGCGATCGAGGAAGATGGCGGGTTTCAATGATGACAGCGACAACGATGCGTTCGTATAGCAAATGCAAACCATAAAAGCTATATAGGTCGGTTTCGATCCTCTCAAGGTCCCGCGTTTTAGGTCCCACCGAATCCAGGCGAAGCAAAAAGGAAACGGTTTTACCATCTCTTTCTTTCTTTCCCTAACGGAAAAAAGTACATCGTCCGGCTCCTGATGGGTGCGGTCGCGTCGCCGCTTTAACCGGATGCTAACTGCAACTTGAGAATACTAAACGTCTCCCCGATGTGTTTACGAGAAATACATTTCTAACGATACATACTATACACCGTAGTTCTTAGCGACTTCGACTCACTACAAGAGATAATCGCGCGTTTATTAGAAAAATATTTTCTTTTTTACCGATTATCATATATTGTCAATGCTGCTCTGCATTCTTCTCTGTTGTATCTTTCATGAAAATGTTTTCGTTTTCTGATATCTCTGTTGAATTAAGATATTTTTATTACTAACATGTTTAATTTTGAAAAATTAAAAAAAATAATGAGCATTGCTGGAATACAAATATATTTATAAATAGAAAAATATAAAGTTATAAATCTTTAACATAATGAATTGATTGACATTTGAATTTTAGAATGGAATTTTTGTTAAAAGGCTTATGTTAAAATTAATTGTAATATAATTCGATTTTTATATACTTTCAGATTTCTCGAAACTTTTTCGTTGGAAAAAGTTTCGAGAAATCTGAATGTATATAAATCCTCAGATATGAAGTCGAAGTCGGAGAAAAACATAGTATACTTGATGCAGTAGAATATAAAAAAAATTATTTTCTTTTTCAATTTGTTACACACATAAACAAGAAGAAATTTCAAGTATACTGAAATTTATAATTTCGAATTTATATCTTGATTTCACTGAATCTGACTAGAAAATCGGTTTCTAGTCAATCTAGTTTCACGCGATATCAGGAAGCATAAATCATTTGAAATACGCAGACACACGGTCGCGATTTTTCGCTGACCCTGTTTAGCGCAATTCTAATCGTTCATAAACGCGTAATAGATTCTCCACACTCTGCGCGCGTTCATTAAAAACATCATAAATAGCCGGGTCGCGAAGATAACGCGTCCTGGGACCTAAAACGCGTAATTCTTTTCGATCGTGTGGACATGTGTGTTGAAATCAATCAATGTTAAGCAGGGTCAATAGTCATGCGGTGCAATGTGCACGATAAGGCTCAAGATCGGGAATTATCTGTACGCGGTAAATACATTTAATCCCGATAGTCCATGTTGCATCGTCCTCGTCCAAGATGCAATTTCTCGCGCAGACACTTGAGCGCAACATTACACAATTTAAGAGAGAGCTTACGCATGTTGCGATATATATGTTTGCGTATTGTCATAAATTATACTTAATCGCGACCGCGCGATTTAATTCAATCGTCCTTATATTATGATTATATACATTGCAATGGAATCGACAGTTAATTTTTATTGCTTATTTTATACGTAGTCGTAATATTGTCTGCGTCTGCGTAGATGACATTTAATGATTGTGTCATTATATTAGTTGCATTTTCTTCAATCCGAGAATAATTTAAAAAATATATATCTATAAAAAAATCTCGGCGTATTTAACAAAAGTTTAAGACGACATTAAATTTCTAAGAGGCAATTAACGTTGAATATTACAAAGTATAATAACATTGAGACATTGCTTTTTAAAGAATTGCTGGAAATTTTATTCTTTTGTATATCATTATTAATGTAATTAAGTGAGACATTTTGCATATGACGCAATATCAATGAAATATTGTGAAACCGCAGAACGT